AGGATTAAGGCTTACTCTGAAAAACTTGGCTTCTATTATACTATTTTAGATGCGGGTTTTTGCGTTTTTGATTGCGTTTTAATAGAATACGTCAACAGAGTGTACACTAAGAAGGGATTTTTCGATATTCTCCTTGCAGGGGAGAGAGATAGGATTAAGGCTTACTCTGAAAAACTTGGCTTCTATTATACTATTTTAGATGCGGGTTTTTGCGTTTTTGATTGCGTTCTAATAGAATACGTCAACAGAATGTACACTAAGAAGGGATTTTTCAAAAAATTTATTCCCACTGGGGAAGTGTTATACATTTATAATAGATACATTTTGAGCCACAACAAGGCGTGGCGGGGTCTGCTAGTTATTAATATAACACAAAACGACGAACTAGGCCATTGATAAATAAGACGCTTTAAACGATTATTAAAAGTTTTGAATTTATTGTACTTTGATAGGTTAATATTAGTTTCCCAGGACCATTACTTTTTGTTATTCGACAGTTTTTAACGTTTTGATTAAAATGTTAAATGTACTTAAAATTATTAATATATATATAAAACAAAAGCTTTGAATTGAAATTGGTATGTCAATACGTGTTTACATAGAAGCAATTGTAATGGCAAAAAAAAGAAATAAATTTTATTTTTTTCGTTACCGTATAAAATGGTGCAAATAATTATACGATTTCTCTTACAAATGAAATTAATTATTTTGCCACTTTTAAATAGTTCAATTATAACTCAAAGTGAATTGTGACGTATTATATGTTGATAAAGACATTTTCACTTTAATAATTTCGACTTAATGTGCAATTTATTTTTAAGTAAATGTGACAATGCCGAAGAGCCCTCTTTATGCTTCGGCATTACGGGACGGAAGGGTCGACATTGTACTGCAATGACAAATTTATCAGGACTGACTCCACTGTGTCTTGTGGACAGACACAGAAACCAGATTGGCCGTTTCTTTTCGTTAGGCAAGCGGTTCCGGGATGGAGGCGGAAAAAGAGAATCAGAGAATTTCACTCTACAGATTTTCTGTATATATATATTCCGTTTATTATTTGATTTAGCCTATATACAATTCATTTTGTATTACAATTGACGTAACTACTACTATTCTGATAACCGGTTCTAACGAGAGAGAGAGTTCACATAAATTTCGCGCGAGGATAAATACCTTGATATAATCCTAAAACAGTTGAAAGGTAATCCACATAAAAAATTCTAAGGTGGAACTTTAGATAATTCTGAGATGGCACAAATTTTTTTCGAACGATGACGTTTCTTTCAATGATTAATCCTTCGGAACCGCGGTGATTCTTGGGCGGCGGCGGCGGATAATGATTAGCGGCTACTTCTTTCACGCACCGTTCATTAAACACTGTCGAACTCTCTCTCGACTCATCAACCCCCTTTTTTTATAAGGGTTTTTGGGTCTTTGGGTTTTTCCCATAGCCTTATTAAAACTGTTTTCCATCATCGTCCAATAGTTGGTTTTCTTCTTTTCGTAGATTCCGAGTGACACATTCGATGTATCATCCTCAACCGGAAAATAAGTCCGTGGGAAAACAATTTAATTATTTTTTAAAATGTCGGTTTTTAGTTTCCCTCTTTATATTTTTTCTCTCTCAACAAAAATATTTGACCAAATTATTCCACTAAGTTCGACTCTCACATAAATAATTAATTGACGTTTTTCTTTTCACATTGCTTTCTCCAAAGAATTAGAGAATGAGACTTTTCAGTATCAGGACCTAACTTTTTATTGAAGAGACCTTTTTTCGTCAGCAATGATAAGAAGAGGGTCCAAAAGACATTTACAAGATTATTTCACAATATCATGGTAAGGGTTTTATAAAAGAATTTCGACTTAATAAAAAAAGAAAAGTGAAAATACTGAAAGAGTTCGAATTACCCGAACAAATGAATGTTCGGCCAATTATTGAATACAATGGAAATATTTATGGTCGACACGAAAATGTCTCGGAACGAAGAATTGTCAAGTATAACATTGAAACGGGAAAGTTGAATTTTGAGAATTTGTCCCAAAAGTCTATATAGGTCGATTATTTTCTTATTTGAGTAGTTTTTATAGCATCGTATGTCTTGTTAGTCTACCATTATTTCGTTGCTGAGTTTAAACACTTTTCTAGCGATTGCGGGTATTTTTCGGTTTGAGTGAACGCGTAACTTTTTTTTATCTTAACGTTTTCAATTTGGTAATTAACGAAACTCGGTACTTTTGTTATTCGATACGAACCTTTTGTTTTATTACCTTCGATAGTCTCGCAGGTAATAAAACTAAAATTGGCATCGAAGTGACAATTTTAGTTTAATTACCTGCGAGAGAACTACTTCTTTTACTAAAACTGTGTTTCTTACTTAATTATGTGGCAGTTTGTTTTGTTATCGGTGTCCTTCTTGCTTTGTTTCTGCGGCGTGTTCGGCATATTTTTGTGCTGTATAATGAGTGTTGATTGTTGAATGTTAGTTGAAATTGAGTGTTGAATGTTAGGTGTCTTTCATACAACAGACAAAATGTACTCTCGTTAGCGGAGACAAGCAGTGCGATCTTATAGGTGAATAAAGCATATGGGATCCATTCGTTTTAATAAGCGTTTTATTAATTTGTTTGACAACACCACTACGTGTTGGGTGATAGCATTATAACGGAAAGTGTAAAAAATACAATTCTTTAAGCTTAAAGGTATAACTATTTGTTTCTACAAATTTGTTTGCTTTCTATTTACGCGTACTGATAGAATTTAAAGTATCGTACGGCCCAAACAGTAGCTAGACACTCTTTCTTTGCAGTACTGTTGTCTAAGTTAAATTTTCTTATCAATTGTTTTGCAGATGCGATCAATTATAATAGGCAAATTTTCCAAATCGTGTCTTAAAAATCTAAATTAAATACAAGTACAGTAGACCCCGCTATAACACGGGTTCCTGTAANAAATAATTTATTTATTGTTTTGGACTTTAATTTATTATTAATGCATTTAATTGCCTTATTTTTACCTTAAATTACGTGTAATCGCTGTTCTATGTTTATGGAAACCGATATCGTTTCGAGTCGGAAAATAGTTTAATTGACTTTCCGTTACTTATAACGTGAAGATTTTTTCGGACTCCGAACGAATTTTTCGAATTTAATTCGTTTTAGCAGGCCATTCGCCTGCAAAAACGAATTAAGTTCGAAAAATTAAACAATGAAGCACCCCGTATTTAATATTATATAGTTTTTATCTCTCACAAAGCTGATAATATTTCATTTTTGCAGAAAGTTATTTAATAATTAATCTTTAAAATTTATAACAATAGCATAATGAAGAATAATATAGAAAACGACAATAAAATTAAAAAAAAAAAAAAAAAAATTTACTTCTTGATACTGCTGCTATTCCTGCTTGTCCTCGTACTGTCGTTTATATTCATGTATTTACTTCAACATTCGAATATTCAAGTGGCTTCAACCGTTACCGAAGAGAAAAATATGAAGTTTCGGAAAACTAATGATGAGGATTCTATCACTAATGAAAACACTATTGGTCACCAAGGGTGCATATACTTTTCGTTTTGTATAGATCGATCTGTAAAATCGGATCAGTCCTTGTCACGTGATACAGATAGCTTCTGTCATGGCGGAAAGTATATGAGTAGGATCGAAGATNTAGGCTAACTATCGTCTGTAGAGTATGTAAATTAGGTACCGTAAGTCTAATACAGTACTGTAATTTTATACATTTCTTGTGAAAGAATCATTTCTTATTCAACGGCGATTAATTAATTAATTAAATTTAAAATTATTTATATTAATGCTTTACTTTCCCAGAAGCATTTGCTGTCGCCGTGTGTTACGATATTTATGAATACAAACTTTCATATTTTTAGTTATAAAATAAAGAAATAACTTAATTCTTAAGGAAGGAAAAGATTTATAAAGAAAATTCTAAATCCTAATAACGGGTAAATTTGTATTCACTCTGACCGTACAGGAGATATGAGACGAATATCTAAAATTCGAAGCGTAAAGTGTGGAAGTCCAAACAGGAAATTACTCGGTAATTTAATTGTAGGATTACTCGGTAAGTAATCCTACAATTTTTTGTTCATAGCGTAGTTTATATGGATTATTTCAAAAAAAAAAAATATACGTATTTTGAAAATGTTGAGTCAAATTAGTCTAGAATCGATTTATTTTATGAAAAAATACCTTTCAAACAGCTGTAGTCTGTAAACTTCTCACGTGTCGGGCTGTGATTGGCAAGGACTCGCAAGAAATCGGATTCATAAAGAACAGAACGTATCTACCGTGTTATACGGGCGTCGACTGTAGATATGTTGTTCTGATAATAAACAGGATGTTAAATTAAAAAAGAAAATCAATTTACTTAACTTTCATTGCTTTTATTTTATACAAACGAAGTAAAACACAACGGAAAAAATGTTAATTCAGTAAAACAGATATATGTATTTCACACTTTATTCGTGTCATTTTATAAATTCAGTAAATATAATAATTTGTCAAAAACATTTAAAATATTTAATTATTAATGAATTTCCCGTAAGAATGTTATTTTACTTCTACTTTATCGACATCCTCGAGTGCTGCCAGATGAAGTAATTAACGGCAAATGCATTTCTCTCCGGAAGATCGTTAACCACTTCTATTTGCGATAAACCGCGTGTTTACTTGACTAATTATTAAATTTACAAGCTTAATTAAATTTTAACTTCATTTTATAATTTACTTAAAGTATGTATGTTAAGCTTCAATTTAAAAAAAATTGCAGTCTTACAAATTTGAACTTCATTCAGTTTGTCTGTGGGTTTGTCTGTTTTGTTTTAATGTTCAGAATAAAGCCAGATAGATATAATTTGAGACGGATATGAAACTTATAGAAACAGGAGATCCACTTTAAGTATATGAGATCTACAGATACAAATTAGAAGTCAGTTCTTAGTATGATGCAAGTCTTCGAAATGCCACTTATGCCGCCCTTTGAATGCTGTTTATGCCGCCCCCATACGGTGCCGCCTGATGTGGCTGCATCTCTGCATAATAGCACGCAACGGTCCTGGACAAGCTGTAATTAAATAAACCACGTCACACGGAGTCGTAATCAAAAACTTAAAACGAACGGAAATTTGTGTTAAAGTCAATTAAAATTCCAAGTAGAAGCGTAAAGTGTAAAAGTCCAAACAGGAAATCACTCGGTAAGTATTTGTTTTATATAAAAGAATTTATTGAAAGTAAATATTTCTCCAGTTTTTGTAATTAGTGAAATAATTTATATAATCACGTGCATTGAAATACTCTTTTGCTGCGAATTTCTCGGAGCGTAGTTTAAATTCATTCTTTATTTAATTGTCAGCTTGTAAAATCGTTATTAAAAATCCAGCAACGATTCGCTTAACTTTCCCAGAAGCATTTGCTGACGCCGTGTGTTACGATATTTATAAAAATGAAGTTTCATATTATTAATTATAAAATGGTCAAATAACTTAATTATTAGAATAAGGATGAGTTTTATAAAATAAATTGTAAATCCAAATAACGGGTAAATTTGTATTCACTCTGACCGTACAGGAGATATGACACGAATACCTTTATCTCCCCATCCTCTCGACTTACAACCACTTTAATAGTGTTTACCTCTTTTCACGTAGACTTATGCGCACAATTTTAGAAATTTTCGACAAAAAGCACAGGCGTTATTATGCTTGAAACTTCGTTCTCACACTTTAACTATAAATAATGCATACAGATAAAAATCTCGAATATTATTAGCATTTGAAGTTCGAACCGCACACGAGAAATCGTCTCTCACTTTCGCGTTACGTTCGTATGTATTTTGTTTTTAATCGCTTTATTTTCGTTGTATTTGTTTATATTCTTTGTTATTCGTCGATTTGTAACAATAAAGAAAGAACATCATCTTACAGTAGCAATAATGTTAGACTGTGTCCTTTATACTTAAGTGCAATAATTAAATGACACATCTATGATAAGTAACCACAGCTAATTATAATACAGGAAACATTTGTGTTGAAAACGATAAGACCATTGCTTATTCAGGCATTTTTCATTTTATTGTACCATATTTAATTATTTTATTTATTGCTTTAGACTTTAATTTATTATTAACGTATACAATTGTTTTATTTTACCTTAAATTACGTGTACTGTTTATTGAAATCGATATCATTTTCGGTCGGAAAATAGTTTAATTCACTTTATGTAATTTATAACGTAAGAATAGAGAGGTTGCAACCGACGTTTTCAACGCGAAAACGTGTACAGTACGTCGGACGTTCAGCGCCGCCTTCCTGTGAGTCTAGAAGTTTAACAATGGCGTTTGTAACGTCAGTAGAATCATTCTCGACGTTCCAATTGTCAAACTTCTAGGCTTACAGGAAGGCGACGCTGAACGTCCGACGTACTGTACACGTTTTCGCGTTGAAAACGTCGGCCGCAACCTCTCTATAGTTTTAATCTATTACAAAGCTTATAATATTTTATTTTTGCACAAATTTATTTACTAATTAATTTTTATTTTCAATGACAATAGCATAATGAAGAATATCGAAGAAAACGTCTATAAAATCCATATAAAAATTTTATACTTTTTGATACTGCTGCTGTTTTTCATTGTCCTCGTACAACCGTTTATAATCATCTATTTACTTCAAAATTCGAATATTCGAACGGCCTCACCCGCTACTGAAGTAGGCAATACGAAGTCTCGAACAAGTAATGATAAGGATGCCATCATCAACGAAAACGCCAAGTTTGCTCACCAAGTTAGAAAAAGAGAAATTTCGTCTGAAACCGAAAAAAACGACGATACAATAAATATAAAGGGAAATTGGAATGTAAAGGTGAGCGTTTACTTAAACCAGTTTAATCTAAAATAATTACAAATTAATTACTTAAAATAATTAATAAGCAGAACAATGTGTCACTTTTATTTGTATGAATTGTCTTTCGTTTGTTGTTTATGTAGAAAGCAGATCTCTTAGAATACTGTTTTACTGCCGTTGACTTTTGTCAAAAAAACAAAGATAAATCAAAAGGTATTTCTTTTATTGTATATATGAGCTTTATATAGAATATTCTGTGGGATCGAGAGCAATCATTTTAATGCATTAACATACATTTAAACAGAAGAAGAACAGAAAGACAATTTTGTAGGAGAAAACCAACAAGAAATTGAGAGTAAGAGAATTTTCTGACTCGTTTAATATTATGTTCAGAATTATATTATTTATATATATATATATATATNTGTAATAATTAAATCACACATCTATGATAAGTAACGACAGCTAATTATAATACAGAAAACATTTGTGTTGAACACGATAAGACCATTGCTTAATCAAGCAATTTTCATTTTATTGTACCATATTTAATTATTTTATTTATTGCTTTAGACTTTAGTGTATTATTAACCTGTATAATTGCTTTATTTTTCCTTAAATTACGTGTACTCGCTGTCCTATGTTCATCGAAATAGATATCGTTTCAACTTGAAAAATAGTTTAATTGACTCCGTTATTTATGACGAAAAATCTTCTTCGAACTTCGAACGAATCGCCAGCTAAACCGAATTAAATTTGGAAAATTCAGCAATGATGCACCTACGTGTTTAATATTGTATAATTTTCTTTCTGTCAAAGCTAATAATATTTTATTTCTGCTGAAAATTATTTGTAATTAATTTTTATATTGAATATCAATAGATAATGAAGAATATTAAAGAAAACGACTATAAAATCCATATAAAAATACTCTATTTTTTAATACTGCTGCTATTCCTGCTTGTTCTCGTACTGTCGTTTATATTCATGTATTTACTTCAACATTCGAATATTCGAATGGCTTCACCCGTTAGCGAAGTGGGCAATATGAAGTCTCGAACAAGTAATAATGAGGATGACATCATCAATCAAAACACTATTGGTCACCAGGCGAAGAAAAGAGAAGTCTCGTCTGAAACCGAAAAAGATTGCCAAGGGAATTGTTCTCTGACACCAAATCCTTCTGAAATAAACGACAGTACAATAAATATAAAGGGAGATTGGAATGTACAAGTAAAAGTAAGAGTTTAGTTAAACCCGAATAATTTAAAATAATTAGAAATTAATTACTTAAAATAATTAATAAGCAGAACAATGTGTCACTTTTATTTGTATGAATTGTCTTTCGTTTGTTGTTTATGTAGAAAGCCGATCTCTTAGAATACTGTTTCACTGCCGATGACTTATGTGGAAGAAACAGAGAGATATCAAAAGGTATTTCTTTTATTATATATAAGACTTATATATAGAAATTTTTGTGGAATAAAGAACAACGATATTAATATATTAACGTTTATTTAAACAGACGAAGAGAAAGATAATTTTGGAGGCGAAAAGCAACAAGAAAATAAAAGTAAGATAATTTTCTGACTTGTGTTTAATCATATCTAGAATTAAGTTTGACGTTGTACAATATAAGACTGATATATAGAAACAACGATGTTAATATATTAACGTTTATTTAAACAGACGAACAGAAAGATAATTTTGGAGGCGAAATGCAACAAGAAAATCGAAGTAAGATAATTTTCTAACACGTTTCGAATCATATTTAGAATTAGTATTGCCGTTGTACAATTTCTTAATTGTTTCTTTGATAAAATTTAGAACAACACAGTCAATTTGTTTCAGCAATTGTGTTGTTATGCTATAAAAATAATTTCTTGGCTTAGAAATAATACAGTTTGTGTTAAGATATTCATTCTGCGCGGTTAAAAATTTTATTTTTTCTTGGGAAAAAAGTTAATGGTATGGTTCAGTGTTTTAAAAAATTTAAAATGTAATTTAAATAGGAATTTTGCTTCTTTGTTTTTTGACACTGTAATATTGTAAAATTTACGTTTCGATTAGCGTAAAAATGTTTTTCCACTTTATTTTCGAACGTATTGTATTGAATTTGGTAGAGCCCAACTCATAGTATTTATTGAGACTTTATTTATTGCTAAAATTGATTGGTTATGTTTCGAACGTGGCAAGAATATCATGCAAAAATTCTTTTATTTCTGATTTTATTATTTCTGTTTTAAATCATTTTTAATTGCATTCATTAGAATTATACGTGTTGTTTTACACACGACTGAAGGTGTTAGTTACTAAATATAATTCATTTGCTTATATTTATTGAATTATGAAAGTGGGTCGAGGTTAACTCACATAACTCGCATGTGATTTATTTTCCTTCGTATGAATTGAAATGAAATTGAAAATAATATCCTATAAACATTTTCCAATAGATTATTTGAAGAAGAAACTTTCACTGTTTACTTAATGATGACGCTTGAAAGGTTCGTAATACTGCACGATTTAGTCGTCTTCAAAGTAGTTTTTAATATTTTATTCTTTGAAAAAGAGTCTATGATTATTTTTTTTAAAGATGGATCGTTGTTTTTGTTACTATTTTATTGATTCAAATCGGTCTAATAATTATATATTGGTCGCTTGTAAATTTTCTAATTAAGTGTGTTAATGTATTTTGATTTCGATTATTAAAATCTATATTTTTTTTCCACAAAATTTTATTTGCCTAGTTGAAAACATGGAATTTTTACGCGATTTCGACATTTCTGTCATCTTCTTGTGAGAAACACCGTTTTAAAACCCCTATTTATTGAGGTGATAGAAACAATTTCTTTTACAAAACAGAAATGTTTTAATTATCTTGTAACATTTAAATGGTTCAATTTTTACTCAAAGTGAATTGTGACGTATTATATGTTGGTAAATACTTTTATATTTCAATAATTTCGAATANAGTAAGTTAAGAAATTATATCTAAATGCACACACAAAAAACACTGTAAAAATTTCAAGGAGTCAGGAAATATTTAATATAATAATTTTTGGAATTGACTCTTCCTATCATCAGATCATAAACAAAAAGTAATATCAAGTACTTTGAAATATAAAATCTGAAAACATTTTTAAATAGAACAGTGTGCCTTGAACAGATTCAATAAATATAAATCTAGAACAAATCTCAGTATTAAATATAAACAAAATTAAATAATAAATCGAAGTTTTATTTTTCAGATTGCATTCTCCAAAATTTTACAGATGATGACGCTTTTCAGTATCGAATCATCAATTTTCGTTTGGGAGTAAAATATGACTCAGAATTTTGTAATATTGAAGAGGGTCCAAAAGACAATTTCAAGATTACTTCAAAAACAGTATTTACGCCTTGTATGAAAGAATTTCAAGTTAATGAAAAAGGAGAAATAAAAATACTGAAAGAGTTCGAATAACCTAAAGAAATACATATGTGGAAAGTTATCGAATACAATGGAAATATTTATGGTCCAGATGAAAATGAATCGAAAAAAAGAATTGCCAAGTATAACATTGAAACAGGAAAGTTGACTTTTGGGGATAAACTCGATTTTGATGATAATAAACATGCCATACGTTCCTTACATGGTGATAACTTTTTCTGGGCACTTGACCGTATAAAAACGACACGCAATTCAAGAAATTGTTTTGACATTGTTTTCGTGGCGTATAAAATAAATTTTGATAATTTAAAACTTTTGTCAAAGCTGAATTTTACTGTGAATAATTGTTTGTCAACTCTCAATATTAAAATGTTCATTACTCATGATAAGGTGTATAGCGTTACTCATCACTCTGGTAAAATTTATATTACGTCTGCTTTAAACAACAAAGAGTTTGTGTACTTTGATGTACAGCCAAACTGGAAAGAAACTGACAGTATCTTCTATAATCCGAAAGAACAAAATCTTTACTTACACACTGCTGATCGCCAAAAAAACAATAAATTTCTTGTAAAAAAGTTACACTTCAATTGTTCAAACGAAGATTGACGAGTCGCGACAAAACTTGAATTATTTTTTCTTATTTTTTTTCCTTTCCATATAAAATCATTTGTAATGAATACTTTAAATGTTAATAAGTTTCTGTATGAAATATTAATAAACGTATTATCTGCTTACTTTGTTGGTGTAGAAATAACAGTGAAAAGTACGAATTATTCATAGTTGAATTCTGTAATTAAAAGTTTTCCAGTTATAAACCATATTATATAATTTTGTAAATGTTTTTATATGAAAGGCAATTGAAATTAACCGATTATATAGCATAATGGAGTTGAATCAAAAGGGATACTGATTAATGAGATAGTATTATATACAGTATATATGTTACTATTAAAGTTTATAATTCCTTACTCTAGAGAACACGTGGTTATTTAATCGAATTTCTAAACAGACCCGTTAAACTGTATTATAAAAGTTGTGTTTGTTTTTAATGTTCAGGGAGTTTCATCGATGATGAAGGTGACCAGTTGGAGCCATCTCAATCAGTGTTGTTGCTGTACGTTGAAGTTATCGGTTTAACTAAAGTTACTAAACGATTGCCTTAAACGAATGGGTTGAAAATCCGCTATTATTAGTGATTAGATAATAATTTATTATTAAAGATAGACGCTAAGCGTGTTTTTTTTAATCTAAATTAATAATTATTAATTATATTATTATAATGTTTTTTAGTAGCTAATCATTAATAATGGTGGATTTATGGCTCGATTGAAAGGACTGTTTAGTTGAGTATTTAGGTAGCGGGCTTCAATTTATTTAGACAAGTTGTCAGTTATTTTTCGTCTTTCTACTTTTGTTCGGTGCTCAGACAATTGTAAAATTTTTTTACTGTAATCTTTTAAAATTATTATCATGTGTGACGATCAGAAATTTCGTGTTATAAACCTTAATCTTTTATAAATTTTAATTAAACTTTAAATGCAATTCTATAAAGACGGAACGAGTTATTATAAATCAAAAGAGAAAAGGGAAAAATATTAATATAATCGAGAAAATCAGTTTAAACCTAGGTTCCCACGAGTTCGATTTCTTGTTGAGTTGAGTAAATCTGTGTGACGATTGTATCCCTTGTTACTTCATAGGTCCGAGGAGATCGTCATCTATGACGAAATCCGGGAAAGGCCCGAAAGGAGAACGTCGTATAAAATGGGTAAGCACGACGAGTAAGATCGTGGAAATTGCGATTTGATTGTGTGTGTGTGTGTGTGTGCTTCACGTCTACCTCACTAATGTAAAAGACAAAAGTTCTATGCTAAGTGATAAAAAGTTATTACGATTTATACGAGAAATGACGAAAGTTAGAGTGACTGTCAAGAATGAACCTAGAGAGTACTGGATACTTCAATATTATAATGCTCTGAATGTTAATTATAAGGTACAAAGTGATCGCGAGTCGTAAAGTAGGCTTTTAACATGTAGCTCTCGTTTAATCTATGTAGATCTAATTTATATTTTGCAAAAAATATATTAACTTATCCCATGTTAAAATTCTGTCCGTTGCGTGTCGCTTCGCGTTGAATTTTCGTAAATGTTAAGCCTAACGAAAACTTTCTAAAATAATAATCGTGGCTATTGTATCATTAAAAATTATTTTTTTTATCTTGTACAAACAAAATAAATATATTGAAAAATATAAAAACAATATAAAATTATACTTCAGAAGTTAATTTAGTATCAAAACCGTAAAATATTTGAGTATCCCAAAACATAGCCAAAGATTGCAGGGTGGACACTGGCGAAAATTTAAATTTGCCGACTGAAATTCTTTCGGATGATTGACGTTTCGGTTGATTGACTTTCAGATAATCGACGCTCTACTTTATATATTAATGAATAAATCAATAGAATATTTGTAAAAAAAAGTAATGTGAAAAAATGTGTATTATAAATAAAATGTTATGAATGAATGATTCTGAATAAACTATTAATTTGCGTTATTCAATAAAATTACTTAAAATCACTTTATAAGATTGTTATAGTTATTATCTGTATATATAAAAACGAATGTATTGTTGTCTGGATGTTTGTCTTTTATGCGCTGTTTATTTGATTACCATGACTCTTTGGGAAGTTGTTCAAGCCACTCCAGCGAAGATTTTTGAAATAAGTTTCCAGGTTGGGGTTAGAAAGTCAACACGTCCGTTATAACAACCAAGAGAAAAAGATAATCTATCAATGAAATGCGCTAAAACAACTCTAATTTTAACAAAATGGAAATAAACACAGGAAGAGCTATTCTAAAAGTAAAAAAATAAAACTATAAAACTAAGAAAACTAGAAAATAAACAGGTAAAACTTAAAGTAAAAGATTCACGGGACCTCTGTGATGCGGTAAACACCGCGGCAGCCGAAAATCGCCATTTCGGTCGACACATTTTTGTATGCGTTGAGGGAATTTTTGTATGCTCATGTCATACCAGCTCGCCGCTATGTCGCGGGACCCATCTTGCGCACACCTTCTGATATTGCAACTTTTTTTTTAAAATACTATGAATGGTGCTTCGGGAAACACGAAGAATCGAAATGCAAAGATCATCCAGAATGTTTCGCCGATCTTCTTGCCAATGAAGCCAATTTTCCAACCTGAATTCGAACTTTCGTCAAGACAAATTTCGCCCGACAACGCACAACTTTCGAACAGAGAGGATAATCATTTCAAGAGAAACAGGAACTTTAATCCACCGCAAAGTCAGAAAAGTAACGCACAAATTGATCGATAAGGAACAAACACTAATAATCCTCCGAGAGACCAAGATCAAGCGGCAGAAACGAAAAAAACAAAGTTTGATTCAAACCACAATTAGAAAAATTAAAAAAACGAATCAATTTTAGTTGAACAAGCTGCGACTCCATTACTCTAGTTTATAACTCCAAAATTTCAATAGCAATGGCCGTTAACACGGGGCTAGTTTCACTCTTTTGTTTTGAGAACCAGCTGATAGGTTAAAATATACTATTATTTTTTTAGTATCGATTATGACACCAAAACAAAATTAGAAGCTGCTACAGGTCATAAGATACAGAATATTGGCATAATAATGCTGAACTTTAAGATAGGAAAAGGAAATTTATCGCTGCTTGTTTGCATTGTAGATTCAAGAATAATGACTATCGTAGTGTTTGATTGGACGTGACCTAATAGTACAAAAAGGTTCAGTCCTGGACTTTGCAAACAATCGAGTATTGTTTTCAGAGGAAAAAAAAAGTAAATTTGTGTTCTCCATATCAGAAAAATAAAGCCCATACGAATAAAAATAAAAGAGAAAATGTCTTAGAACAGGAATAGAAGATGTCAGGAAAAGTATAGGAGTATAGTCCGGGGTATTCAGAATGAATACACTCATACACTCATATTATAGGTAGAAATAGAAAAAGGAAAAAAAAAACGTCGAATAGGAAAGTAGGGAAAAGAAAAGTTATAATTGTAATGGAGATAAGATCATAGATTGAGATGAGTTAAATAAACGTCCGACATTTTATCCCCGAAATGAAATAGAAACTAGAACCGACGATACTAGTTGTATAAATACAAATGATACGGGAAATATAACGACAATTGTCGAAGAAAAATGTATGCGAGAAAAATTAACAGTATTAGGATCATGATGGTTATTATTGCTTTAATAATAATAATAATAAACATTCACAATTTATGGTACAAAAAGTTTACATCACTGCACCAGGAACTAGCTAAACATCTAACACACATCATCATCAATCCACAAGACATGCCAAAATTTCTTACTCAGGGCATCACCTACATGAAACCTAAAAACAACAACACCACAGACCCCACACAATACAGACCAATTACATGTCTTCCAACACTCTACAAATTATTGACATCCTGTATCACAAACAAAATATACAAACATGTTGAAGAACACGACATTCTTACAGAACAACAAAAAGGTTGCCGTAGAAATCACAGGGGATGCAAAGAACAGTTACTCATAGATTCAGTCATTCTACGGCAAGCACACAAACAACACAGAAACATACACATGGCATATATAGACTACAGAAAAGCATTCGACAGTGTTCCACACAGTTGGCTGCTACATATTCTACACATGTACAAAATACATCCATCACTCATTGCATTCTTCGAAAACACTATGCAGCACTGGAGAACAACACTACATCTCAGGGTTAGTAACACTTCCATACAAACAAACGAAATATTCATTAGGCGAGGAATTTTTCAAGGAGATTCCTTGAGTCCTCTCTGGTTCTGCCTAGCCCTGAATCCATTATCCAACATGTTAAACAACACGCAATACGGCTACAATATCAGACACGAAAAAACAACACAGTTTACACTCTCACATCTCATGTACATGGACGACATAAAACTTTATGCATCCACACAAAAACAACTTCATCAACTCCTACAAATCACACATTCATACACTAAGGACATACAAATGGAGTTTGGCCTAGACAAATGCAAAAAACTTCACATAGAAAAAGGAATCCTGAAGAAAGAAGATTTTGCACTTGGAAATGGAGACGTTATTGAATCCATGGAAGAGGGCGAGTTCTACAAGTACTTAGGATTCCAACAGGCCAAACTAACAGAACATACACAAATAAAGCAACGATTAATTAAAGAATACCAAAGTAGGTTAAACGCTATACTTAGAACACAGTTAAATGCAAAACACACAGTTAAAGCAATAAACACATATGTCATCCCAGTACTCACATACTCTTTTGGAGTTATACATTGGACTCACACAGATCTCGAGCAACTCCAAAGGAAAACAAGAACAACACTTACTAAGCATAAACAACATCATCCTAAATCCGCCACAGAAAGATTAACCCTTCCACGTAAAGAAGGCGGACGTGGCCTGATTGACATAGTTAACCTTCACTACAAACAAATACAGTCACTGCGAGAGTTTTTCTACAAGAAACAAGAAACATCACAGTTACATAAAGCAGTAACTCTAGCAGACTCAAATAACACACCATTAAACTTACACTCACATCATACAGACATGACACAACACATAAAAAGCATAGACACCATCAAGCAATCGTGGGCTCGAAAGGCACTCCATGGCAGGCATCCTTATGACCTGGCCCAGGATTTTGTTGACAAAACTGCGTCAAACAGCTGGTTAGATCGGGGATGCCTCTTTGGGGAGACGGAAGGATTCATGATTGCCATACAGGATCAGGTCATAAATACTAAAAACTACAGAAAACACATACTCAAAGATACAACACTCACAAATGACACATGCAGAAAATGTCACATCATGCCAGAAACTATACAACACATCACTTCTGGTTGCAAGCTCTTGGCACAGACAGATTACTTACATAGACACAATCAAGTAGCAAATATAATACACCAAGAGCTTGCAAAGAAACACAAATTGGCAGACATCCACGAACCATACTACAAGTATATTCCACAGACAGTATTGGAAAACAACACGCACAAAATGTACTACGACAGAGCCATAATCACAGATAAAACAATTTACCACAACAGACCAGACATCACACTCATTGACAAACACAATAAAATCACATACATTATAGACATAGCCATTCCAAACACTCACAATGTACAAAACACATGCACTGAAAAAATTAGCAAGTACACAGAACTCGCCCAGGAAATCAGGCATCTGTGGAGGATGGATAGGGTGCTTATTGTACCTGTCGTTCTCTCCTGTACAGGTGTGATACCACACACACTACACAAAAGGCTGGGAACATTACAATTAAATAGAAATACATACATCACACTACAGAAGGCCACTATATTGAATACATGTCATATCGTTAGGAAATTCCTGAATACAGACATTGACACACTTATTTAATTTGTTATGGTTGCTATGCCTTGACTCTGGTCCGGCATAGTACACAGCCACCGGTTTAAACCGAGTATTACCCACTAAACCCAACACAATAATAATAATAATAAGACTCCCATTAGTACCTTTTCCTATGACGTCAACAAAAGCAGAATCGTTACGTAATTTCTCGACTACTGGAGTCACGTTGCTGTCGACGTTGCGTTGAAGTCGCATTTTTAAACGGAAGTATTCTAAAACACAAGTTAGCGAAGTAAAATTTGAAGGAGAGATCGATCAATTGACAAATAAAAAATAAAAATTTTTATTGACGCTGATAGTGAGGACGTTTTTCTTCTATGATAATCCTCACATTGACTTTTCGTGATATGATGCATAGTCAGTGACCATTGGTCACTGACCATGCATCAACAGAAACACATTTTTCTGGTCAGTGACCAATGCTCACTGACCAGAAAAATGTGGATCTGTTCCTAATTGGCATTATTGGAGATATAGATTTTATTAAATAAAAAGTTCTTAGACTCGGAATTGTGTACCGCAGATTTTTAAGAAGCTCTTAAAAAAAAAAATGTCAATTGTTAAAATGTAAACATCTTCGTTAGAAAAAAACGGAGAAGTAGAAATTAGATCAGGGGTCACCGGTTGTAGTAACAAGTCAGTGGGAAAGTTGACACATAGGTGTCAAGAATTCACCGTCATCGTCAATAAAAGTCGATCACGTGTTAGATTTTTCACGACAATAATATAATAGGTGCGAGCCACCGGAAGATCTTGAGTTCGCACACGGAAGTTATATTTGGTCTTAGCTATTCCTCGTCTCCCACACGGTAGAAAACGTCGACAACTCCCAACTTTTCCTTAAATAACTGTCATCACCGCATATAAGATTTTTCCAACTTTAGAGGTAATTATCAGTGGACTGCGAACTTTCTCTCGTAACCGAAGTAGGCATAGCTGTCATAGAATAGACCAAGTAGTTGTTTATCATAGACTTGAAATCTTATGTTAATCGCATTTAGCCGATATAACCTAGAAATATACATCTAACTCTGTGTAGCCTCCTGTACTTTAGTGTTAGCCGTATATTGAATGCTTTGTTTTTTGTTAAATTTGTTTCTGTCTCTGAAAGGACGCCTGCCGACTTGCTCACCTCCCTCGCCACTCGATAAACAACCATCCAGAACGACAACGTGAGCTGTCCTTTTAGACTGTTGCCGAGTAAGTGGTGAAGAGAAAGTAACCCTTGGCCCACGGTTTCTCACAGAATTATCACAACTGAGAGAGAGTTCTGAGAGTGCACGGAGAATGAATTGTCAGAAAAACTCTTCGCGAACTTTCCTTAAAAACGCTATTGTACGAATAAAAAGCAGTTTTAAAAACTTATTTATGATGGGGCGTAGTTCTTACACATGTGAGACTAATCGGGGGTAGGATGTTTACGAGTTCTTGACTCTCCTACCACTTACTCGACTCAAGACCTTGAGGTCCGGTCTCGCTTGTCTAAAGGATGGGAGAAAAAGGGTTAGGAGAAAGGATCGTTAGATTCTTTCACCTGTCAGGATCTGACACCAATCTATCAATTTATCGCGGATAGATACGCGGTTAATTAGATGGGGAATTATCACGAGCGATCTCGTCGAGGACTTCGGGTTCAGTATGGAGTAGATAATTGTCGGAAGAAACGCACACCAATCCAAGTTCGTTAATAAAATACCCGTTTATTCCGGTTATTCCGTACATTTACACATAGTTAATTATTTAAAAAGTCGAAGGTACAGATCCCTCTCGGGAATTTCAATTCGCATAGTTCATAAAGTAACGGCAAAATATAAAGTAGTCGCGACCCTAACCGCGAGGTTGGAATATTCGAATAGCGAGAGAAAGCTTACATATCGCGTGTAGGATAAATACCTCTAGTTATACAGGATGGTGTTTTCAGGAAGATCTTGGAGTTCGAATCCCGGGCTCGTTAAAATAGTTCGTGAGTCGACGTAAGTCCGCAAATCGTAGAATAGTTCTATCGAGGATGGTGGCGACGAGAGGTAGGTAATCCACACACACACAGTATAGAAAATAACTTGTTCCCCCTTGTGTCGTCATCGTACTTGTCTTTTATATGGGGGCTCTCTTTTCGAGATATCTTCATGTACGTCACAGGTGATGAACTTCGTTGACCAATGGTGGGCGAAGTGACAAAATTATGACACAACAGTAAACTCATCTTCTACAGGGAAGTATTGTCGTGGGAACGGAGTTTTTATGAGCGATTTTTATGAGAAAATTTATCGGTTGTTTTTCCCTTTTTGTGTTAACCCTAATTTAAAAAATCGGTTTGATTTTGAAACAAAACGGTAAATAAAGGAACTAAAATGAATATAAGTATTCGAATCTGGGCCCTCTTAAATCCTGACCCTCACACACATATTCTCTTAATTTCTGTCGTAGGGAATAACTATGATAACTGGAATTGTTGAAAAAGTTACTTTATTTGCAAGCTACACTTTTGATCAACATTTTAAAAAATAAATGTATTATCCGAGAAGCAAACATCATTCAATGAATTAATAAGAATGCACCGATATAATTTGACCTTTGAAGTAGTAATCAGATCGATAGAATTTTTTATGCAAGAATTTCTCATGCAATTGTTAGAAATTCGAGAGGGCCTCGAATTTCTAGAACAAGGAAGACAGAACACTTATTTTGTATCACGAGAAGTGATGTTACACACACTCGGAAAGATACATTTTTCACATTATCATGCTTTACCAACATTCTACGCTATAATTACGAGATTTGTAATGGAGAGTTACCTATAAACGCACAGTGAGTTGGTGATCTTTTTATCTTTTTAAGGCCTCAGAATTTTTCATCGTGCTATTCAGACTTCACTAGCTAATATTAAAAGATTGATCGCAGACAACATAGATACATTAGACGAGCCGGATTTGGAACTCGGGCCATATGTTAGTTATGCCTGACCTAGACAGATGGCCCAAGTGCTGCGTTGCGATAACTAAACAAACGAAACGAAATATAAAAATAAATAATTGATTTATAGAAATTTAATCGAAATTTCCAGAAGCAATGTACGAAATGACGTACGTTAGAAGGATTTGAAAGTAAGTACCGAGTTTCTTAGCAATTGGTCGAACAGCAAAAAAATGTAAAGCGAACAAACAAAGAAACATTTTCATTTATAATCGCACACGTCGTTCTTCATAGTTACTTATAAAAAAAAATAAATCCCAAAATAAAATTGATTGGCACGCGTAATACTTAGCACGTGCTTCGATTATCATTCCGTAAGCACGATTTTTATTGTTGCATAAACAATAAATTTTAAGAATTCTTTTTCAACTATTGTTGAAGCGATTGAATTTATACAAATTTACAAAGCGATTATACAAAACGAATTTTTTGAAAAAAATGGAGTTTATTGGTAAGTTAAATACTTTTTAATGTATAATTATATTAAATCTTTTATAACATGTTTGTAATAAATACAAAGACACACATTTAATAGTAATTTTCTAGGGGATATTTGAAAATCCGAATGAAATTGTTATACGATAAACAATATTTAACTTTGCATTTATTTATTTATTTAAGGATTTGTTCATCGAGTAATGCTATATTTTATATTTACGAAATGTTCTGGTCCATTACATTATCTATCGATATTATTGAATAAATAAATCGATGTTCACCGCTAGATAAATGCATACAATTCACATTTATAAGAAAAAAACTTGTAACGAAAGGGTAACAAATGCGGCAATTATTTTTAATTGGTTAAAATTATCTATTGATTTCAATTTACTTTTTATCGTTGTTTCTCGAGTATAAAGATATAAAGAATATTTGATTATTTACATTTTGTAAAGTTAATTTGAAACTTGAATATTTTAAACTCATTTTACTCAAACTTTTTATTAAATTGTATCAATGAATATAAAGTAAGCTTCTAAGTATACACATAAACATCAACTCACAGCCCGAGTAGATAATAACAACACCAAACGATCGCCTAATTATCGGGCTATAATATGGCTATTATAGCCCGATTATATCTAAATCTAATATATCTAAATCTATATACTTCTGGAAGCGAAGACTCGCTCGGGGTCCGGGTGGCGTAACTGGCAAGCGCACCGCACGGCGAGCGGAGGTTGCGGGTTCAAGCCCCTGTCCCGGGTCAGTTCTTTTATTCCAGAATGTTCTAAATTTATTTATTTAATTAAGAGATGGCGCCTAACGCCTACCTCTAATTGTCAAATTACTTAGTTCCAATAGCCATATTATAGCCCGATAATTAGGCGATCGTTTGGTGTTGTTCTAAGTATACGCTAATAAATATCCGTCTATTTACTTCGACAGAGAAAAACTCTTTATTAATATTACATTTTCAGTTGACTTTATGATTGAAACAATTTACACTCTCTATACAATTAATAATTTCAAATCTCAACGCAATATTTATGTTTTTATATCACGTTTAATTTAAGAAATTTCTAAGCAAAAATTAATTAATTGTTTTTTGAATTTCAATAGTTATTTTTGTAAATTTACCATATACTTTTAAAATATCTTTCTAGAATAACAATTTCATGTGTTTATTTGGTTTAAAGTGTTTGTTATTTGCTTTGTTTCTCTTTTTGAAATTCCTATATAATTTTTGAATTCAGGCGAAGAAAATGTTACGAATTTCTGTTTATTGAGTTTTCTTTTATTCTTTAGAATGCAATAAGGGAGAAGAAATTATTAATTCGAACGTACAAGTTTCGGGTGACGAAAAAAAAGTCACCTTACAGGATTCTGTGGAGACTATTGTACACATCATCATGGATCTGGCAGCACAGAAAAGGAAAGAAGAATCAAAATCGTCTTCTTCTGTAAGTGACAATTCGATGGAAATAATTGAAAATAATTTAACAATTTTTATCATTTAAAAGTTTACAACTGAAAAACTCATGACAACCATGCACAATCTTATAAAATGTGTTATTTAAAATGGATGCAAAGTGTTTATTTATAAATAAATAAATATTTTCTGAGTTAATAAAAAAGCACTATAAGTAGTGTAAAATTATTATATCATTAATCAGATTCTTTCACTTTTTACAGGACTTTGCTGAAAAATTAAGCATGGAAAAAGAAGATTCCATGGAATTGAACGAAACAGGAGAAGTGATGGAGGAAGGTGAGGTCACAAAGAGATTATAAAAACATTTTTCGATTCATAAAATAATTTGTTTAAATATTATTATAAAGAATAATTGAATGTTAAATTCATTGTGTTAAAATCTGTTTACATTAAGTAACTTAATATTAATTATCCATGTACAGTTTGTCAGGTGTGTTGGATGTGGTAGTTTATTATATTCGAAACAATTCAAAATTAGCGTTAATTTCAAAATGTTTATTTCTAAAAGGATTTCATTCATTTCGTCAAAAGTACTTGAGATAATTATTTTTGTTGCTTAAATTTTTCAATTTCTCGCGTTGTCAAACGAAAAGTCAATTTAATTACGTTTATATAAATGCAAAGGGTTTATTATGTATAACGTCCGGTATATAACCACAAAATGAAACATAAACATTGAAATTAACATTAAAACAACAAATAATTTGCGAAACACAAACAGAAAAACACTGTGCACTTTGCTCTTAAAATTCGAAAATTTCATTCATTCAAAATAATCGAATTCATTCAATTCATAACATTGATTCGAAATAATATTCCATTCTTTATATGTTTGATTTTTTGATTCAATCAGAATGGAAAAAATCTGAACTTATATTTATATTCATAAAGATTACATTTATGTAACGTACTGTTTATACATGTGTACTGCTTTGTCATTTTTTATAGTTTACATATTATATTTGTATATATTTATAAACTTTTCAATCCAGCTTAATTTGCGAGAATAAATGAATATTGAAATACGTACAAATTTTTTACATAAACACGGATATTTTACAATGTTATATTTGTTATTTTTTCTAAACTTATTTATGGTTAATGGTAGCATTACAACATTAAATTACAAACAAATTGAAATGTAAATTATAAAATTATTACTTTTTAGTATCAAAAGAAATAAGAAAATTTGATGAAGCCAACAAAACAGATAACGATCGATATTCGTGGGAGAGCGAATCTCTGAAAGATGACGATGATGATAACGTAAGATAATATTTTGTATTTTTTTTTTACTTTACACTTATAAACCCATTCCCGTTCTTCGCTGAACTTTTTGAATAATGTTATGGTATTTGAAGGTTTTCGTCACTATAAATAATTTTATACATTTTAAATGATCGGCCTTAGAAACATTATATTGAAATTTTGAAAAAATAAATTTCAAATTATTTAAATATTACTTTGAAAATGGGTAAAATTACGAAAATACTAATTCAGATATTTTATTCTTGGAAAATTAATTGTTATAGCGGAACGCATTCGATTAAAACATTACATAATACCAGGTTATCCGACAGCTCAAAATTGGTTTTGAATGGTTTTCTAGAGTGCGAGTTTAAATATTTGCTGTATTTTTCGCCAAATTTGATTGGTTGGCAGATTACTGTTTGACAAATGAAAGGATTTGTCTTAACAAATATCTTAAAAATTTGAAATTGTCCCATTTCGTATTATCCGAGTATCGCTATAAAGGTAATGATGTTAGACTAAAATAATTACTATTTATATGGTGGTTACATCTTAGTGTTTGATTTATATATTTACGTAACAATTTAACATACAGAGTGACCAATTTAGCACATTATAAAAATTCTTTATTCCATCTTATTCCACACCATTTAATGACTGCCTCTCGGTGTAATAAACCCGTACATAAGACAACCTATGTAGTTATAAATCATATACTATAATATATTATAATACAAGAGTTGGTAGTACAAAATAGTGTAATAATCTTAATCTTTGTAGTTGTCATTTCCTAGTTTACCAATATATTTATACTCTTTGCAGAAAACTACAAAGTGTTCAGATATCTTCGTCTATATCTTTTACAAACTGCCATCAGCGATTTTTTCGTGCTGCAAAAGAAAATAAATGCTTAATAATGAAAAAGGTACGTAAAAGATTATTTATATTTTAATTATAACATGACTCTTATTTAATAAAAGTTAAGCGGTGTAAGATTTAAAATGTTTAAATTAATTAACGATAACAAGAATGAAGGTTACGATAAATGTGCAGAATAATATTCACATAAAATTCAATTCACTTTAACACCAGGTTATTCTACCAGTAAATAAATTACTTAGAACATAATGCCATAATCGTCAATACCAATTCATTCCGTCATTTGTCGGTTCGGAACAACGTATGAATAACAGTTATATCTACAAAAATTTCTTTATCTCGCTATCACTGTACTTTCATTGTGTATGAAGTACTTGTGACAATAGAACACGCTGCTGTTACTCCTAAAGTCCAGACGAGTTAATAAAAATAGTTAATGCGTAAACAGTACATTACAGCCTTCTCTTTTAACTGTCTTTACTCTCTTAATTATGAAGATAACTGTATATTATAACTATAACTGGTTTAATAATAAGGCCGCATTTTAGTTTGTTATACCCCGTTTGCACGGAGTATTTCAATCCTGATTCAGATTAAACGCGGCGAATATGCCGTAGTGCGATTTCTCTCGAGTGAAACTAGGTTCAATCACGATAGACTCATCGAGTTCTTAAAACTAGATTCAGTAATAATAGAGTTTTCGCAATTTCACACTCGCGAAAAAATACAACAAGTCGGCTGTTAACAGAGAAATAAAAATGTCGTCTGTCTATTATTAAATTTATGGAATGAAAAAATGTTTATTTCTAACCAAAAGTTTCATTTGGTTTGTTGGTGTCCGTGACTTAACGCGTAGTTATCTCAGTTTTATCATCGCATATACCTGGTTCTTTTCGAGCGGACTGCCTGTTCAAGCAGCTTGACAGTTACAATCCAGACTGTAAGTAAATCGAGTTCGAAGTAAGTCGCGAACGTTGTATTACTGTGTTTACTTATAATATAATCTGCGTTAAGCAAAATTCAAAGTAGCAATTTAGAAATTATGTGTGTTTACAATTTTGCTAAAATCACCCCAAAAGCTTGATTTGTCTACACTTTTATACAAATTCTATGTATTAATTTGTCATCTATGCCAACTTTTGTTCTGGTTTACCCGAAATTTAATCGACAGTTTACTGTTTTTTCCGACTTTTATGCTTCTGTATGTATTTAAATGTATATGTGTCTGTATATACCAGCGTGTAAACTAAGTGCCTAAAAGAAAGTTTAGAGTTTTGCATTATAGACAGCTTTATAATATACATTTTAAAAAGAAACTCATATCACCATATTAAAAACACTGAAAAATCTCTTACAAAAATACATGAGATGACAAGCAATTTATTAAATTAATTTATGTGTTTTCTGCAATAAAATGACTTTATTATTTGCGACATAGATAATAATTAAGTAAACGTAAAATGTAGACAAAAGAAAAACATGTAAGTTATAAATAATAGGTTTTGTAATTAAAATTGATTTAATAACGCTTTTTTTTTTTTTAACACTTTTACAGAAGAAACTGAGCTGTTGCAGTTTCCTTCTTTTAGTTCTTCATATTTTGAGAAAATCTAATTTTAAGAAGCATTTACAGAAATTATTCTAGAATTCAATCTAAGTTAAAATATTCATTCCATACTGATTAAGAATTTTCACGGATTGGTGAATTTTTGATTGGGCGTGTTATCAGAAAATAGCGGAATGAAATTAGCATAGAAGAGCAGTTTCTGAAATACTACAACAGCATTGATTATAAAAAAAAGCTTTAAAATCGATTATAATGGTGATGATTAATTAATTAATGGCTTCAAGTTAAAGTATGGAACTTTTTGTTTGTTAAATTTATTTTTAAAATCTGCGCCTTTAGCGGAACCAAAAAAAGTTTTGTTCTTGAAAAAAATTTTAAAATCCGCGCCTTTAGCGGACCCAAAAAAAGTTATTAAAAATGTTTAAAATCCGCGCCTTTAGCGGACCCAAAAAAGTTATTAAAAATGTTTAAAATCCGCGCCTTTAGCGGACCCAAAAAAGTTATTAAAAATGTTTAAAATCCGCGCCTTTAGCGGACCCAAAAAAGTTATTAAAAATGTTTAAAATCCGCGCCTTTAGCGGACCCAAAAAAGTTATTAAAAATGTTTAAAATCCGCGCCTTTAGCGGACCCAAAAAAGTTATTAAAAATGTTTAAAATCCGCGCCTTTAGCGGACCCAAAAAAGTTATTAAAAATGTTTAAAATCCGCGCCTTTAGCGGACCCAAAAAAGTTATTAAAAATGTTTAAAATCCGCGCCTTTAGCGGACCCAAAAAAGTTATTAAAAATGTTTAAAATCCGCGCCTTTAGCGGACCCAAAAAAGTTATTAAAAATGTTTAAAATCCGCGCCTTTAGCGGACCCAAAAAAGTTATTAAAAATGTTTAAAATCCGCGCCTTTAGCGGACCCAAAAAAGTTATTAAAAATGTTTAAAATCCGCGCCTTTAGCGGACCCAAAAAAGTTATTAAAAATGTTTAAAATCCGCGCCTTTAGCGGACCCAAAAAAGTTATTAAAAATGTTTAAAATCCGCGCCTTTAGCGGACCCAAAAAAGTTATTAAAAATGTTTAAAATCCGCGCCTTTAGCGGACCCAAAAAAGTTATTAAAAATGTTTAAAATCCGCGCCTTTAGCGGACCCAAAAAAGTTATTAAAAATGTTTAAAATCCGCGCCTTTAGCGGACCCAAAAAAGTTATTAAAAATGTTTAAAATCCGCGCCTTTAGCGGACCCAAAAAAGTTATTAAAAATGTTTAAAATCCGCGCCTTTAGCGGACCCAAAAAAGTTATTAAAAATGTTTAAAATCCGCGCCTTTAGCGGACCCAAAAAAGTTATTAAAAATGTTTAAAATCCGCGCCTTTAGCGGACCCAAAAAAGTTATTAAAAATGTTTAAAATCCGCGCCTTTAGCGGACCCAAAAAAGTTATTAAAAATGTTTAAAATCCGCGCCTTTAGCGGACCCAAAAAAGTTATTAAAAATGTTTAAAATCCGCGCCTTTAGCGGACCCAAAAAAGTTATTAAAAATGTTTAAAATCCGCGCCTTTAGCGGACCCAAAAAAGTTATTAAAAATGTTTAAAATCCGCGCCTTTAGCGGACCCAAAAAAGTTATTAAAAATGTTTAAAATCCGCGCCTTTAGCGGACCCAAAAAAGTTATTAAAAATGTTTAAAATCCGCGCCTTTAGCGGACCCAAAAAAGTTATTAAAAATGTTTAAAATCCGCGCCTTTAGCGGACCCAAAAAAGTTATTAAAAATGTTTAAAATCCGCGCCTTTAGCGGACCCAAAAAAGTTATTAAAAATGTTTAAAATCCGCGCCTTTAGCGGACCCAAAAAAGTTATTAAAAATGTTTAAAATCCGCGCCTTTAGCGGACCCAAAAAAGTTATTAAAAATGTTTAAAATCCGCGCCTTTAGCGGACCCAAAAAAGTTATTAAAAATGTTTAAAATCCGCGCCTTTAGCGGACCCAAAAAAGTTATTAAAAATGTTTAAAATCCGCGCCTTTAGCGGACCCAAAAAAGTTATTAAAAATGTTTAAAATCCGCGCCTTTAGCGGACCCAAAAAAGTTATTAAAAATGTTTAAAATCCGCGCCTTTAGCGGACCCAAAAAAGTTATTAAAAATGTTTAAAATCCGCGCCTTTAGCGGACCCAAAAAAGTTATTAAAAATGTTTAAAATCCGCGCCTTTAGCGGACCCAAAAAAGTTATTAAAAATGTTTAAAATCCGCGCCTTTAGCGGACCCAAAAAAGTTATTAAAAATGTTTAAAATCCGCGCCTTTAGCGGACCCAAAAAAGTTATTAAAAATGTTTAAAATCCGCGCCTTTAGCGGACCCAAAAAAGTTATTAAAAATGTTTAAAATCCGCGCCTTTAGCGGACCCAAAAAAGTTANGTTTGATTGTATTTAATTTGTTTTTGCCTATATTTTATTTTGAAATATTTAATTAAACAGAAAAAATACTTATTGCTAAAAAAAAACAAAAGAAATGTGCTAATTTTAAAGTAAAAGCTCTGTAGTTTTTTTCAATTGTCTTGCCTTTTTGCGAAATTTGACGCTGAAGTGTAATTGTTTTTACATTTGGATGACCTTCAGAACAGCTGATATCGCCTTTCGCGGAACATTCTCATAAAATTTACAAGTGTAGAAGGGTTTAAAATAAGGTAAATACTAGCTGGCCGTATATTTTTAAATATTTTCAAAAAATTACGTTTTATTTTGCGATTTCCGACCCTTGACTTAATTAAACGTATATATAATAAAATCTGTTAATTAACAAGATTAAAAAACTATTGGAGGTCGTTTTTGACATTAGAAGCTAGTTTTACACAACTTTATCGAAGTAAAATCCATGCTACAAAACTTTAGAACAATGTGCTAATTTGATGAAAAATTTCTTAAAAAGAGAGTTAAGCGTTAATTGTGCGTCATTAAAAGTAGATTAAAATCGCAGTAACATTTTTCGCATAAAATTTTATTTTAAATTTTGGAGACTTAAAAAACAATCCAAATATAAAAAAAAACTTATTCCAAAGGGTCCGTAAAGCCGGTCTTTTTTAATATTCGACTTGGACCACAAGTGGCGCTTAAAATTAGCTACAATTTTTATCTATATCTTTACACTGACATTTGTAAACTTTGAACACAATAAACAACTTTCGATGTACAGAAAATGTTTTTATCTTTTCTCGTGCGATTTCTTAAAACCTCGTATAGTAATAAAACATACATACACACATGAAACACTTTGGCCATACACGAGGTGTTTAGCCAGCGGAAAAAAACGGTAAGCGAAAGAGGAGGCTAAGAGAAAGAGGAAGAAGAAGGGAGAGGATATAGACAGTAGAGAATAATAGAATCCCTCTGAACGGCGTACGTACGGCTAAAGTATTCTTTAGGTTTGATGTCGGCGTGCAATTTCTAGGCTTCAATGCCGTAGTTCCCCGAGGGGTCTAAAAGAAAACCCGAGTTTAGCGAACAACAATATAGAGTTTGTGGTGCGAGTTCAAACGTTACTTGTACACGGCAAACAGAAGTACACGGTTTACGTTTTAACTCCAAGAAAAAATCGTTGGGGCGCAGGTACGCAACATCACGTGACTCGGTGAACGTCGCTCGTTGACTCACGGAATATTTGTTTAAAAAATTGCGGATACATTTAACATCGAGGGTTACCAGCAATAGTAAATAAACAAATTAAAGTATTTTAAAGTATTTATAAAATGTTTAGTAACACTAAATAATTATTTTTAATCAGCGTGGTGTCTCCTACCGTGCGATAGAACGATACGACTATCTCGTACTTTTGTCGAAGGCTTATGGCTTATGTAAATTCGAAAGCGGTTCGAAAAATTAATTTTTAGAAAATTTACAAACGTATTACACTGTAAATAGCTAAAGATACCATGGAAAAACAAACCTACCATTACTTACGCTATTACGAAGTTTGTGCCAGGAATTATAATGCGAATGACCAGGTCTTATAATGTGAATGACCAGGACTTATAATGCGAATAAAACTAAACGTGAGTGACACAAAATGACAAAGTAAACAACATGAACGGACAGACAACAGACAAACATGCCAGACACCAAATTTTTTTCATTTAATTTTATTTATTTATTTTTTATTTTAAGCAACTCTCCACTTCATTTCTTTGAATACAAATAAATACAAATAAGACATGTGTTCAGATAAATAAAATTGGATTTTTTTTCCTTGCAGAAAGTATTATTTGGCAAGTCTTACAGGTGAATGAATTTTTATATCATTTATTCAAAGTGTCATTATATTATTATATATAAGCGATGAGGCACTATAATATTAATTTAATTAGATGTGTTGAGAGTTTAAAATAAATCATAAAATGAATGTATTTTATATTGCATCACTTTTAGTTTCAAAAATGAAATACAATAAGAAGACGAAGTCTTCTTAATCATATAAAATACAAAAGTTATGCTGATGCCCTGTTAGATTTTTGTACCACTGTAGAACGTGAGTAATTGCACTAAAACCCAGAGTAAACAGAAACTTAAATTACACTAATTACAGGAAAAGAAATAAACTGTATTATTTGTACTGAGTTTTGACCGTAGACACGATGTATTAGAAAATATCCAGATAATATAATATTTTTTTTTAGTATAAAAAAAGTAATTTACAATCCACAATTAATACACATTGCAGTAAGTGCTGTGGTGTACAATGAAGCAACTGTTTATCTACCGTACAGAGAGAGCATAGAAATAAACTTACGTAAAATAAAATTCAGTAAATTACAGAACACTGTGTATATTTATGCTCTTCATTACACGAACAGCAAAGGAAGAAAAAAATAAAGAAATTGTGTTGAACTTCCGAAACTGAATTTAATCTCTTACATTTAAAAAGAAATAGATAAAAAGAGCAGTGGATAATCGATATTTTGCTGTAATTCGCCTAAACTCTCCGTAGCGTGGTGCTACTCAGAGAAAAGCATATATATAATTATAATAAAATTACAATAAATTAAGTTAATATATAATTATATATACAGTACCTAATTTATATATAATTAATATATAATGTACAAACGAAACTAAACTTAATTAACCCGCCTAAACGTCCGTAGCGTGGCGCTACGAACGGCGGGAAAGTAGTTTAGCTGCCCAACGACGTTTTACGTAATTATAGGAGTTTTTTTACCGTTTTGTATGGATACAGCCTCAATTTTTTCACCATTTTATAGGAATCGTAATTATAGGAACCTGTCTTATAGGGGGATCTACTGTAT